TGTGTGTGTGTGTGTGTGTGTGTGTGTGTGTGTGTGTGTGTGTCACATGCCAGCGCCCCGCCTGCCGCGGCATCGCCACGGCGCGCCTGTAACTTGTTTTTTTAATTTCAAAAGACCAAATCAGGTTGAAGAAACCCAGCCAATGAATATTAGCAAAAGCTCTGCATAAACTGGAAGAACCTGCAATGAACAGTAAAACAGCAGCAGACCCCTCCTCCTCCCATCTTTTCCCTCCAATGGCTAATCCTATAGTTGGCAATGCCAGTGAATAAGTGGCTGAACAAGAGAGCAAATAGAGACACAGAAGCCCTTCGAAAAAAAAGAGCCGCCTCTGGACCAGCACAGATACATTTAATTTTTTTATAGTTAATCAATTATAAAGGGGAAAAAGAAGACCCTCACAGTTGAGCCTGGCCGTCTTCTCTTTCCCCTTTATTTGGGTTCCTTGCTGGTCGGGTTGCCGTGCCCCTTGCAGGTCCGGAAGGTGGGTCGACAAGTCCAAGTACACAGCCGGAGGTAGGTACTGTGAAAGGAAAATAATACAAAATATTGAGAGATGCAATCAGACTTGTCTTCACCGACATTCAGCACGTGAGCAAACAGATGACGATCACCGTGGCGCAGAAGCGCCCACACAAAAAGCTCAGAGATAACGTAGCCGAGAACACAGTTCAGATTGAACGTGATCCGATCGGCTATGGCCGATCACTGCAACTCAGCAACTTGTTCGCACACATGCAACTCTGGATCTCCCTGGATGTCCCGCACACACTGAACACATTCATACACATACATGCACACACTCACACCTACTAACACTCTATCACTAAGCTATGGCAGCCATGGCTGCCTTCCCCTACAACTAACAACACCAGCGGCTATGGCCGCGTCTTCTTCCTCTCAGCCCACTTCTCCTACGGGCACCTGCAGACCTCCGTAGCACAAGATACTCAGGCAGCGCTTCCGCGCGGCTCACAGGCAGAATCCATCCATGGCTTGACGCTGCATCTTTATTTATACTTTGGATTGTCAAAGGTCTGCCCTTGGACCCTGGGTCCGGGGTGCACACAGTCCCGCATGGTACTTGCTGACTTGACAAGGTGCGACCGGGACTGGGTGCCGCTGACTGGGCTGGGTTAGATGGCCCACTTCCCCACTTGCCTACGGACTGCTATCTAGGATTCATGAAGGGGCAGAGTAGACTGTTCTAGAAGGACCTAGTCTAACCTACGTAACCCTTCGGTACTGTAGCAGCTACGACCTACATCGACTTTTCGATACTGTAGCAGCTACAACCTACGTTAACCTTTCGGTACTGTAGCAGCTACGACCCCTACCACTACTGAGACTTCTAATCTACAAACCTACTGTTCGAGACCCGACGACCACACTACCCACAGCAAGCAAACAGACGACTTTCAAGACACAGGTCGCCTGTTCAAGCTCACACGGGTCAACTGATACTGTACATGGGTGAGGGCGAGGCCTAGGGATCGAGCCCTGGGAACTGCATCTGCTCCCGTAAAGGTGAAAACCGTTTCAGAGAGGAAAATAGCATAGTAAATGCAGCTGCCCCCCATATGAGGAGAAGGCAGCTTGCATTCCCTTCAAAAAAAAACAAAAAAAGGAGGAATTAGACTTGAGTCTCTGGGAAAACAAAAGAAAAAAGGAGGGAGGCGGGGGGGTGGAAAGAAGCATGCTCCATATTCATCACTATTGCTAACGATGATAATTGTCGCCTGAAGATGAATTGATACACATAACATTTTCATGCCCTTTCCAAGAGGATATAATACTGATATATACATTCACACAATTGCACAGCTGTTTTGTCCTTGTTTTGTTTCATATATCATATATTGGAGTTGCTGGCAGTAAGCCCTCCTGGCATCAATCCTTAGTGAAATTGTACAGCATGGAACATCCATACAGCATTGAAGTATCTTACTCTTCTTCTGGAGGTAGCACGTCCCGCACAGTCTGTCTCAAGGCAAGAGCCTTGCAAACAAAATACACATGCGCACCACAAAGGCCAGGCACAACAACAACAACAACAACAACAACGACAACAACAACAACGACAACAACAACAACGACAACAACAACAACGACAACAACGACAACGACAACGATGACGACGACGACAACGATGACGACGACGACGACGACGACAACAACCACCACCACGACAACCACCACCACGACAACCACCACCACGACAACCACCACCACCACCACCACCACCACCACCACCACAACCACAACCACCACCACAACCACCACCACCACAACAACAACAACAACAACAACAACA